CGACAGCATCGTCCCCGTCGCAGGGGCCGAGCCGTGTCCGTCGGGCGCCTTCGGAGACCCGAGACCCCTAACGCACCGACCGCCCTTCCGACGGCTGCCCCTGCCGCCTCCTCTGCTCCCTGCCGCACGCTTCGGATGAAACCGTGCTAAAACAGCCTTGGAGGAAGTTTGGAGGAGATGGAGGGCGAGGAGAAGGCAGCCAGTCAAATAATTGGGACACCGAGACAACCTTACCTTGTACAGTGAAAAGGGTAACATTTATTTTATTTTCTTTTGGCTTATAGTAACGTAATTGTTAATCATGTTGGGTAAGATCATTATGAGCCACCATGCAATTTCTAATACACTAATCTTCACTATTGATCTTTTACAGCTTTAACAGGTTTGTGGTTTTTTTGTTTTGGTTTTTTTGCGGCGGAAAATTAAATAATCCAAACTCGGGTGTGGCCTCTATGTAACATCATGGTTTTATTTTAATTTGTTTTGTTCAACATTGGCTTCTATAGTTTAAAAAAAGGTGAACAGGAAAAGTGAATAAAGCAGCTTGAATTGGTGTTTCTTTACCGCCCTTCCCCTCTGCTCGTTGAAGAACAGTCACAAATTAACCCGAAAGGGAGGCGTTCGTTAGTGTGGGAGGGAAGAGAGCTACTTCTTGTAGTCTTGATTTTTGGCTCCGTCTTGTTAATTGACGCCACCACCCCCCGTCGCTTTATTCCCACAACCCTGAATCCGGAATTTAAATTCCGCGCACGCTTTGGAATTCGGAGCTTTGCGTATGACACCAACGTCCCTTAACGCTCTTTGACCAAAGTTTCCTCTCTGGCCTTGGCTTCACCCAGTGAAGATGCACAGAAACGCAGACCCATTGCTGTCAGCACCCGTGACCTGCGGCTGATGGAAATATCTGCCCTAGGGAGGAAACGACGAGAAAAAAACAAACAAACAAAAAAAAAACCCTCAAAAAAAAAGAACACCCCAGGAAACTTTTCTTTGAGCAGAAGGACCGACTCCAGCCAACGACCAGTCGACGCAACTGCTCGTTCCTGTTCCTTCTCAGCAATGCTGACCGACAACCACTGGCCTCTTGCATTTAATACAGATCTAACGTTAAAAAAATAAATATATATACATAGTTTGAGGGGACTTTTCATTTTATAGTAATTGAGTTGCTTAATGGAATTGCCAGTACGAACGCTAAACGTACCAAGCTTCACCTACGAGTCAATAGCCCAGCTTAAGAACAATTATGAAGTTTAGCCAAATCTTGCATAGAAGTGGTCAACTTATTGCACGTTGGAACCCCCCAAAAATATACTTTTGCTGTTGCAAAGATCATTTGCAATAAAGCTTTTTTTTTAAAATCTAGTTTGGGGAGGGGGATAGGGTTTTGCTTGTCTTTTTTTTTTTTATTATTTTTCTTCGGGGGGACGTTTACTGGCTATCTAAAGTCTAAGGAAAACAGAAAAATATTAAAAAAATAAAAATAAACATGGACAATGGCATAAGCCAGAAGCCATTCTATTATTTTTGTAGTTCTTTGTATTTACAAAAAGGCATGCCGATAAAATAAAATGATATATTACAGTATTTATAATATTCTCTTAAAAAGTTCAACCACACTTTTCAGCTATTTTTTTCTTTTTTTCCTTTTTTTTTTTTTGTGCTGTTTACAATGTAGCCTGTACATATGTATGTAGTTTCTCTTTGTTATTGTACATCATATCCTAGGAGCAACTGGGGCAAGAGCCGACGGGATAGACAAGGTTCCTTGCTGTGTTGTGGGTGCAGCAGAACTGCTCCGCTGACGTGGCGATGGCTAGGCTGCGCGGCGAGGACGCCGGCCGTGGCACGGATGGCTGCTGGATGGCTTCCTGCTTGGTTTT